ATTTTAACTTAATAAATTGTAAGAAGAGAGGATTACTTAATAATACTATAATAATATATCTATATAACAATATTCACTCTTGGCGGGGGTGTGGGGGCTTTGTATTCACCCATCCCCAGTCCCCACTAATGTCAAGCGCAAACCTACGCCCTTGTTCCCACTTGACTATTAAAAAATAACAGAAGGGATGTAACAGCTACAAAAAAGCAGACTGAACTTAAATGTGTCGGTTAAATGTTGTAAATGAATCTGATATTTTAAGATGTAAATATCATCACTCGACAGATAGAGGACTAAGAAGAAAACATCGGTGAGCAAATCAAGGCAAAAGCTAGTGTCATCCCAGATAGCAAAATACAATCGGGCCAGTTCCGGCTAGATTGTCGCCTGCCGGAGACTTACCACTCGGTCCGGCTCCGGCTGCCGCACTCGGGCCAGATGACTGTGGACTCACTGCCCGATTCCGGCCCGAATCAAGCGGGCCAGATGCGGCGGCCGTAAGCGAGCATCCGCGCCGGAATCGGCACGAGTGAAACGTGCGCTGCGGCCCGGAGCTGGCGCGATTAAGTCTTCATATATATATATATATATATATATATATATATATATATATACATACATATATACATACACACCTCACCCTTTTAACGTAATTACAACTATTTGTGTTGATATGACAAAAACAGGCTACTATGTTAATGCAAAGTACTAGGCTAGGCATTGCTTTTAAACAATTGAATAAAATGCAAACAGTATAAAAGTCCTATATAGCAAATAATCAAACAAAAGACAAAATAAACAATAACCGTTTATTGGATTGCACAAATATCAAACATAATAATAATATTAATAATAATAAAAAAGGATGAATAAATGTTGCAGTGAACAAGAATTTACAACTTCAATATATATTAAAAAAAAAGTACAAATTACACAATTATTACACACACTACAAATTACACAATAATTAACACTGTAAACAAAATTAAGTAAACTGGAATATTTAAAGAAAGAAAATCTTAAATTGCACATATAAAAGTCTCAAACTTCAAAAAAATAAGGTTTTGAAAGTGCAAAGCATAAAAAGGAAACAACTTAATACCAATGTAAAAATAAATGAAATTGCACAAGTTGAAAGTAAAATAAAGAAATTGCCTATGGATCAGGGAATCTTAATAAACTTAAAATGTTGCTTTAGAATAAAAAAAAATAATAATAATTGAGATTTAGACATTTGTTTTCTGTCTTTCTTTCCTTCCTCCATCCCGATCAGGAGCAAGTTGTAGCCACCTTGTTATGTATTTTTCAACCTCTTTATCAGTGGCACTCTTCGTATGGCCATTTGTCCGCACTGCATCTATGATTAAAAGAAATACAGATAATTAGAAGTGAACAAGTACAAATGTTAAAGAAAAAGTAAAAAGAAACATGCTTGCTCTCACACAAGTACAACCTAAAATGGCACTTAAAATTACTTTATATGTAGATTTTGTTGTTTATCTGGTTAATGATTTAAAAACACATCCTGCATATAAAAAGGTATTTTGGCACAAATGAAAAACAGCTGCAAATGTATTGAAAATGTATATTTAAAATCAAATCAACTTACTGACAACGACAGTCCTAAGGGTGAGTGTACGAAAGGCCACTTTTTGGTTAGCCCCACTCCAGTTAATTTGTTTAGCCAGGGAGTTGGCTAACAGCTTTCCAAGGATGCGCCATACTGCTTCCTTGGTGGAAAACCCACCAATTATTCCAAAGTAGGCAACCTACAAAGCCAAAAAAAAAAAACGACAAACAAAAAAATTAATCAAATTGAACTTTGAAATAAAAAATATCAAATTTTTAACTACGCAAGAGCTTGAACTTACCAATTTCTTCATTTGTTCGGGCTGCTCCTTTATCTGACATTCTAGCTTTTCCAAATCAAGTAAATTGGACAGTGGCAGGTCAAATGTGCTTGGTTCGGGAATGTCTTCACACTGCAGAGTACTATTTTGCTTATGCAGTTTTTTAAGAATCACGTCCAGTTGCTGCTTCATGACTTCTTGTGCTTTTATTACTTCAGTCAGTAATGCTAAAAAAAAAAAGAGACAAGTATATTAGTATAAATCAACCTTTAGCTTATTCTTACACATCTTGTGTAAATACAACAGTGGGTTAGATACTAATGATATTCTCTTGTTGATCTTCATTTTCTAGCAGCATTAGGACTTTACAAATGTAATGATCGTTTTGAATTCTTACAAAGACATGACGAGTTGCAGCCAGTTCTTTCTTGATTTCCCACTGCAGTGGAACAAGGACTGTAAATGTTCCTTGGCGTACTGGGATGTGCAGTATCCGTGCATCTTGCTGGTGTTCTAAAGGACTCTGCCGTAGTCATTGGTGGTGACGGTATATGCGGTGCGTCATCAATTTCTGTAAGATCCTCCATTCTGCCTTTTTTTCCCAGTCTCTTTCTTCCAGATAAAATCTCCTCATCACTGTCACTAAAGTTGTGTCTTTTATGTCCCCTGAACAGATACATTCACCAAAAAAATAAAAAAATTAGAGTAGTGCCAGGGCAAAACTCACAGGTTGTAATAGATCAATCAAATATTGTTGACAGTATGAGTTTAAAATAATTGCAAACCAACCTGTTCTTTCTTTTAGTGTAGGATGGGCGATCATCATCCTCATCGGTCTGCAAGTCAGACATCACAGTTGCCTGTGGAAGTTTAAGACGAGCTTCCTCATAGGAGTCTATAATAAAACATCACGTTGTTAACCTTCCCCAAAATTAAAAATCCTGAAATGCAATCAAATTTAATTAATGGCTATATTACCTGTGGTGTAAATAATTCGCACCCTGAAGGTTGCCCAAGATTGATTGGGAGAGTCCTGCAGTGTGACGGCCTTATGAATCTTAGCCATAGACTTGTAAGATGGCCAAGCACACGCACCATTCTGTACCCATGAAGATGGCACAACTTCCACTTCAGATGACTCGATGAACTCAACAATATGGAACATTTTGTAAAAACAAAGATCTAAAAAACAAAAAAAAAAAAGTAAAAATAGTGTCAAGCAGTTTTATAAGTGGCATTTTAGACATTTTCAAATTTCCATTTCAAATACTTTGTTTGATATCTGTTGATATCAGTGTAAATGTAGCAATGGCAGACAAGCAAACTTGTCTTGAATAGGAAGTATGACAATTTTTTTAAGAGACTTATCAACTTTTGCACATTTAAGTTCTTGAGAAAGATTTGACACAAGATAAGCTCCAAGCCTGCAAGAATCAATTGGGTAGTCATACAATCTACTGACTGACTCAAACTGAGCATATACTATGAATGCATCATTATTCTGAATATAGATGTTCTGTACCAACCCAATTTCGCCATTAACATTAACACAGTTATCACCTTTTGAAACCTTTAGACAAAAATCAGGGAAATGGATTTCTTTGTACTGTTTTACAACTGCTTTAACAAATGGCAAAATAGGCCCATCACAATGCTCTTTCCGAACACAACTTTTAGAAATGTCACTCTTTGAACCACCCCTAGATATCTCAGATACTCTGCGTACAATTTGTGCAACAGGATAGCATGGCCGTCGGACCAATCTTTTTAGCTGACCTAAATAATTTTCAAAAGGAAATCCAGAAATGTTGTCAAGTGGACCATGGCATTTCACATCATCAGCTAAGTGAACAAGGCCATGCACATTATAGACAACATATTCCTTGCCATACAGCTGCACAAAGTGTTTCACAAAAGCTATAAGTAGTGTCTTTGCATACTCGCACATTTCAGAGCATTGAGTTGGGTCAATAAGGATAGAAATTGCAACTGCCAGAAGCATGAAGTTATTGTAAACCGGAGTGCTTACAACATCACGAAGAACTACAGATCCTGTGTAGAGTAAAAACTGTCTTAGTTCAGTTGCCTTCCAGCGATTTTTCTCTTCAATTGACCTTGGTTTACGAGCAAATTCAGATGGAACACAATTCTTAAGGGAGAGTAGGTTATGAGATAATTTGACTATACTTGCTGGCAAGCGAGTCTTGAGAGGACCACTGGTCCATAGATCTAGTAACCTACGCATCACACCAAGGCAGACTAAATGCATATAATCATGAGGAAATGCTGATACCATATTTATATCAAGTTCAGTAAGTGGAGATTTAGTTATGTGGTGTTCTTCATCACACATACTTCTGAATGTTTCATTAGTTCTTAGAGCTGAATTGGTCTCAGGGAAAGTCATGCGCTTTTGTATGTAAACACCAGACTGTACACATTTATCACATGATGAATAACCCGTATGAGACTTGACACCCTTAACATAAGCACGAGCAGGTGCGTCACAAACAACAGAACTAATTTTGAGAAGTAGCTCCTTTCCTCTGAACACAAAGCCTGACTGCAGGCTTTTAACTTCTTCAACTAAGCTTTTTAAATACTCAGCCAATATTTTTGGTTTGGAAATGCCACCAAATATTGCTATTAGAAAAGGTTTCTTGGTTATGCCTTGTAATAAGCCTAAAATAGGCCACAGTTGCATGTTTGTACTCTTGTGCAATGGAATGCCATCAAAATTCAACTGCAATGTCAATGTGTGTCTGTTAGGTAACTGGGGCAACATTTCATCAAGAATTCCAGACAATGTATTAAGAATGCCAAAATAGTAGAAAGAACCTCCTTGTATTTGTTCTATTCTATACATTGTGTCTGTCCTAAGCAGTGTTCGAGCATCTTTTGGAAGGTTTGGGTGCTTACTACGCAAGACTGACAGAAGAGCCGTTAACGCAACCATTGTGATTCTGAAATTAATAGCCCAGTCAGTTAAAGAATTTTTAAAAGCTTCATCTGAACTTTCCCTGACATGGTCACCACTATGGTCAGAATCACTTTCAAAGTCATCTGACACCACAGCATCATAATCATTATAATGAACTGAGCCTTCAGATGTCACCATATCATAATCATCTAGGTTATCAAAGTCTTTATCCTTAGGGGCCCCATCTGTACTATTTGAGACCGTGGCCCCATCTGTACTATTTGATGCCGTGGCCCCATTTGAACTATATGAGACCTTTGGATAGAGAGGAGTGTCATCACAATGAGTTTGCAAAGACTTCAAAATCTGAGCAACACTGGCCCTTGCCCTTTTTCGAATGTTAGAATTCACAGAGTAAAACTCGTAATTTTCAGCCATGACTTACGTATTCTGGCCTCTTGTGTGCCGAGCTTGCTTGATCTTGTTGTGACTGTCAAACAAACAAACAAACAAACAAACAAACAAACAAACAAACAAACAAACAAGTTTAAAAAATGTTTTTCACATGAATCAATATAAACACTGATAATGATCATTCAGAAAAAGCCTGAAAACATTATACACCTTGAGCATAAGCTAAACCATTAGATTTAAAATCTAGACATTACTGGATGATTACAGATGTTTTTGAAATGCACAGTATTGTTATGCAAGTCACTGCAGAACTGAAGTGGGCATTTTTGAATTTATTATTTAAATGTAGTTTTTAAAATGTTTTCAAATTATTTGTAACTTTGTGGACACATGCTAATAAATACATACATGGCATCAAGCAACTATTGTTGATTAGTTTCTTTTTAAAACTACTTTTAAATTGTTATACATGCACAACTGCGAACTTGCTATCCGATAATAACAGCACAGGAACGTACTCCAGAAATTAAGTCAATTTTACTCAGTTTTTTTTTGTACATTATATGCATAAAACATTTATAAATAATATTGTTTTGTTTGCATCTAAACATTGCGACCATCCACACAAAATATTCTTATTATTTTGTTGCTGTAGTGCCAAGAGTATTTTCTCAAATTATCACTAAACGTGGAGCTAACAATTTACTAGATAAAAGAGGAATTTATTCAGTTGTCATCAGTTAAATAAGCCATGTCCTTGCCAGAAGTGGCCTGGACCCAACAGACAAACTCAGGCCCGATATGGTAAACAGCAATCAGGTCAGTGCTTTACAGCCTCATCAGAGAGTATTCACTGAGTAAAACTCATAATTTTCAGCCATGACTTATGTATTCTGTCGTCTTCTGTGCAGAGGGTGTAAGATCTTGTCACGGATATAGTTGTGGACTGTCAAAGAAACAAACAAACAAGTGTATAAATTTTAACATCTTCACAAGAATCAATATAAACATTAATAAGAATAATCCAGATAAAAAGCCTGAAATAAACATTATACTCCTTGAGCTGAATCCCAAACATTCTACTTAAAACCTAGACATTACTGGATGATTGCAGATGCTTTTGATTTACTTTTAGTCTGATGAAAGCCAAAACAATAAATGTTCAATGCAAAAACAAGTTCATGAAACCAATAGGAAACTGGATCAAGTCATAACCAGTCACATTCCCTTAAAATAAGAAACCTTTTGGATCAGATATTTGCAAGTTACTAAACCCTGTTAACCTACCCGTGTGCAAAATGCTTGATGATGATGATGATAACGATCAAAAACAAACAGCAGAATTGGTTTATTGAAGCAATTAGTATTGTAAAGTCTGAAAAGCTCAAATATGTTGAAAATGTATCAGCAATTTAAAGGTTGTGATGGACTTTAGGTACCCAACTATTACAAGCCTATTCACATGTTCATAAGATGGTGCCATCTTTTGTCTCTGTGATGTGCTGCAAAATGACCTTACTAACTTTTGCAAACAAGAATAAGACTTACGGTTACATTTATCTTTAAATCTAAATTTATAACTGACAATAACCAAGAAATGACAGCAAAATCTGCTTTATGACGTACCGTTTTTAATGCTCTAATGACCGCTTGTGTACAAGATATAACAGAATCACATAACTTAGTCTAATACATACGAATATACAAAACATACACATAACATACACAAAACGAAATATGCTTGTACGCCTAATATATTTCACTTGGATAATTTAAAGAGTACGTTACGTTATAAGTTAGTAAACAGTATCGAGTTTCGAACACTTCGTGGATGCACTGCATACAAGTTAATGAATCAAATAGGAAGCGGAATTATGTTATTTTAAATATTATTTTACAAATCCAAATAACAAACTGGTTAAATTTTAATTTGCACAATTACTCAGAATTATTACTGCTGGGTTACACAAGAGTATGTTACGCCGTTAATATTATTTTTCAACATCCACGGACTTTATAATGTTATGTAATAAGTTAAATAAAAAATAAAATGTTTCTTTAAAACAATCAAAATAGCTTTTCAGGTAGTAAACGCTGTTACGATAGAACATTGTGTAAAAACTTTCAAAGTTTTTAAAACGTAACGTTAGCATTGACATGAATTAGCTTCGCTCGTGTTTCTTTCAAACAAGTTGCTTTTTCGATCAAATATTTTTTAAGTTGTTAAATACTGTTACGACCTAACATAGTGTAAAAAATTCAAACAGTAAATTCGCATCGGATACAGTATATAAGCATTAAAACCTTACCTTTACGACCGGAATCCAAAAGAGTTGCGAGTTCCAAAATGTTTTGAAAAACAAACTTTCTCCTCCTCTTCGTCTTCTTCAAAAACCAAACTTCCTGGCGCGTTCTGCTTTATCTCACGTTCGGCAAGACCATCGTCCAATCCGTAGCCACCTACTTCGGAAATACGTCACAGTTTTGTTATGTAAGTCGCCGCAGAACGAAAGTGGGCGTTTCTGAATTTATTTTCTTATTTAATGTAGTTTTTAAAATGTTTTCAAAGTTTTATAAACCCAGTGGATAAATGAAAATAAATACATGAATTACATCAAGCAATTATTGTTGATTAGTTCATTTTTAAAACTACTTTTAAATTGTTAGTTGAGCACTTGGATTCTTAGCTTGCACAGTTGCGAACTTGCTTGCTATCCGAAAGGAGCGGCACAGGAGCGTACTCTCGAAAATAAGCAAATTTTTCCCGGTTCTTCCATAGATAATATGTAATACATATATAAATAATATTATTTTGTTTGCGTCGAAACATTTCGACCATCCACAC